CAGTGTAGTAGTATGGTTGCAGTATTTTTGTATGCGGTCTTCCCTTTTCAGAGATATAAACGTTTGAAATATAAATTTTCTAATCATTTTAATTCAAGAAGTGTAATTTACGATAAGTGTTCTGAAGTGAAATAGCCTATTTAACAAAATTCTTTATGCAAACACTGCTTATGCATATTGCTAAATATCATATAACGGAATTTATAAAACTAAGTACTCGCTTAAATGGAGCGAAATCGTTAAATCAGTAACATATGTTAAAGCATTTTTTCCCATTATCCGAAATTGTCGAAGCGTTTTTTCTCCATAGACCAGGTTTTTTTTTTKTTTTGTTTTGTTTTGTTTTTTGTTTTTTGTTTCTATTGTGTCCACGGAATTGGCTGCATTGGGAATATCCTGCAAAGGATCTCTATCCCTGGGCTCATTAAATAATTTGCGCCTTAGACGAATAGTCCATTCCTTTCCCAAGTGTAATACTCGACTATTGGGTGAGAGCTGTGGATTTAAAACATACGAAACGAAGAGAAAGAAATTGTGTCCACTCCAGTGTGTCGTATTCATAAAAATTACCTCGGACTATGACCGAAATTTAGCAACATCCGACACATACAACGACGTAAATTTTTTTTTTTTTTTTTTTTTTTTTTTTTTTTTTTTTTTTTTTGGTTTGTTATTCGTAAGTATAGTTAAAAAGAACTTTGGTTGTTCTACCTCAAGCAATTTTAGGCTGCGTTCATAATGTATGGCAAGGGGGGGGGAGGGCAGGTGAAAATTTGAAATGTCCAGAATAATTCTTTTAAACACCCCCCTTAAAGTTCCCCCTAAGCAAGTCTTGTAGCTCCTTCCAAAAATTGTGCATCCCCCCCCCCCCCCATTTTTCTGATAAAAATTTGCCTCTCCTCTCCCCTCCCCTTTTTCCTACTAAAATTTTCCCGATCTCCCCTCAATTTCACCTGCCCCCTCCCCCCTCTGCCATACATTATGAACGCAGCCTTAGGACAAAACTCGAGAGTAATAAATAATGTTTCTTGCTTCGTTCCCAGGAATATTTCGGAGGATTACTTTCGTTTTAAACAATAAAATGTGGATGAAGATAGCTCTTATAACTTGCCTTTTGGTTCTCATCTCTCCTGGAAGTAGAGGGTAAGTAAGTTAGCGAAACTCAAATCTTTTTGCTTATCTAGAGTTTATCATTGAGAATTGAGACAGGCAGCAAAATAGACCAATTTACACTTGGCGTAATCGTTTTCCATTTCAGACCACTTGTCATTCCCAAGTAGCCAGCGGGCATCCAGTCTTTTTACTAAGAAAAGACCGGATGCACAGAGTAACGGGTGTGAATGAGATGACACTCCATGAATGAATGTGAATACAACTCAAACAAAGAATCTTATTCTGAAGGGAATAACACGTGATCTGAAATGGTTTATTTTGGGGAGGGAGGCGGGGGGTCCAAAACTTACGCTCAATAAGTGAGGTCATTTCTGACGTCATACATACACTATTTCATTCGTAATCTTTTATAAAGAAAACACGACAACGTGATGTGGCTTTCAATTCATAAACATAAGAGTTATGACTTTCGATAGAAACAGTTTAGGATATCATAGTTTAAAGATTCTCTGTAATACAACGTTTGTTAAAGAAGGGGAAAACAATGGGTTGTAAAAAGGGGTCTGGACCCCTTGGACCCCTTCCAGTGATCTGCCCTTGTATTTTAAAATTTTTAACAGTGAAAGAGAACTGCCCTCGCAAGGTCGTCGACTCATCCCTCTCGTGGCTCGTAATCACCTGAAGCGAGATGACGTTTTACCCCCGACTCTATACCATAATAGTTTTTGAAATTCTTTCATATTAAAATTTTTGATTCCTTACTATAGTAGAGAATACAGGAATAATAGTCATAATTAAAGAACGAAAGCAGTGTGAAAAGGATTATGGTCTAGAGACGGGAGTAAAACGTCTTCTCGCTTCAGGCTTATTCCTTCAAGTCCGAAGGAAATGGATGCGTCTGGATTGTCCTCTTAACGCATTCAAATCAGACTTATTTATAAATTACAGGCATTAACTTTTTTACGTATGATGTACTTGCTCACATATTACTTAGTTCTTAAGAAATAAGTCTTTGAAATAATATATTGGTTTTATTAATTTCTTGTTAGGATAACTGTGCCATCTTGCTGTCCAGAAAGCCAGAGTCCATCTGGAGGACCAAGTCAAAACACAGGAGCTGTAGTTTGTTACTTCCGCCGGACTTCGCTAACATTGGAATGTATCAAGTAAGGCTTTTAGTTTTGTTATCTCACAATTAACCAGTGACGGATCCAGGGGTGGTTTCGTGGGTTCCATGGCGACCATTTTGGAATCCCCCTTTGTAAATTCCTGGACCAGCAACTGGTAAGACTGCGTTTATAATGTATGGCAGAGAGAGGGGCAGGTGAAAAAATTTAGGGGGGATCGGAAAAATTTTTACCAGTAAAATGGGGGAGATGCAAAATTTTTAGAAGAAGCTACGAGAGATTGACCGGGGGGAATAGTTATTTTTTGGGGGACTTCAGGGGGGGGGGCTTAAGAATTTTTTTGTCATTTAAAGATTTCACCTGCCCCCCCCCCCCCCCCCCATCCCACCCCCTATCCCATACATTATGAACGCAGCCTAAGATCCAATTTGCCATAATGTAATTTGAGAGACACCAATAGATTACCTGTAAAAGCCTTCCAAATTCTCCAGCCGGGTCCCAGCCGATATGAATACCATTTTTATGAGGTTGTCTAAAAATGCATGAAGCACAACGTGTTTTCACTCTCGCTAAACACCCTCCCGTGTTTTCTTCTTTTATTTGCATAAAGTCAATCCTTTGATATCTTTTGCAAATCTTTTGCAATGCATTTGATGAGTTTTTGAATCGCTGGATTTGACACAATAGCTAACGATGATTCATTTTAATCTGGAAGAGATAACTAGCTAAAAACTAGTGTGAGCTGCGTCGGTGTTTCTAATGAAATAGTAATGATAAAAGGGTAAATTATACACCGTGAAAAGATGAAAAAACTTACTGACGTTTCGGACGCTAGTCCTTCGTCGGAGTAAAAGAGAAAGAGGTAGTAGAAAGGGTTAGCACAAAGTTTTTGTATTGTTGGATTTGAGACCCTAACGATGTTTGGTTTTGTCTAGGGGTAGCTCAAGGCACACCTGTACAATTGTACGAGCCAGTGCTTCATCCGAGTATGAACAGCGAGGCCCAACACCTTACGGCGAGTACTTGATCGGTAAACATCGCTCCAGCACCACCTATCCAGGACTGGACTGGTACAGACTCTACCCTAAGAAGGAAGACAATTCTGGATACTATGGTTACTACTCCCCCAACAAAAAGGGTCGCTCTACAATGGGTCTTCACCCCGGCAAGGTTTCTTGGGGTTGTGTCACGGTTGCTACTATCAGCTGTAGCAGCGGTAGCTACAGCTGCTACAACAGCAATTCGTGCTGGAGGCAGATCAAGCGTATTGTTAACAGTGGCAACATGTACTACCGTGGTTCCTCTTACTCTGGTATTCTTTACGTTGTGCCTTAAGTCAATGTTCCATGATGTAGATGACGACTAGTTTTGGAATTAGCTTGGACTGCGTCGGTGTTTTTTAGTTGAACCAAATGTGTCGTAGTAGATAATTTTATCACCATAGGTATGAAAGATTAGTAGGCTSACGCTTCGGACTCCGACGAAGGACTAACGTCCGAAACGTCAGTCTACTATCTTTCGTACCTACGGTAATAAAATTATCTACTACGACACATTTTGTTCCATGATGTGATTTTAAATAAAAGTTAAACTTTGTTCCGATAACATTTAGCATTACTATATTTTCTTTATCTGTTAGAATAAGCTAGCATCAGTTACTTATATTAGTAAGAAAAATAGGTACCTTTAGGGGGTACATGTCATATACGCCTGCATGCAGAGGCAATAACAGGGATAGTGTAGGTACCAAATGTAGGCATAGAACAGCAGGGACATTAATTACTTTTAAGTAGAATTGAAAGCATTTTATATAAGCTGAGTTAGAAATGTATGGCAATATGTTGATAATAATAATAAACTTGAGTATTTCCAATTCAAGAGCTCTCTGTTCTCTAGTTTTAAGTGTTTTTTATATGAAGTATATCTGGGTAAACTCGATGGCATAGTGTCTCCTGCTTATTAATATGCATTAGACACAAAAACTCTAAAATTGTGGATGAGCGATGATGTTATCAGCAAGGCCTCTGTAGCTCAGTGGTTAGAGCACTGGTCTTGTAAACCAGAGGTCGAGAGTTCAAATTTCTCCAGGGGCTGCTTAACCTATTTTTGATATTTTTAGAAGCAAGTGAAAAGAACCGTATAAGACGGCGCTGCTCCGTATGACGACGCAATAGTACACTTCCGAGATATGCTTCGCTTGTCATGCACAAAGGTTTCAGTATGAGGCTACGTGCTAAATGCTCAGTCATTTGTGACAGGCGGTAGGAATAAATTTAATTTAGCACGTAGCCTCATACTGAAACCTTTGTGCGTGACAAGCGAAGCATATCTCGGAAGTGGGCTATTATTGGAGTGCTACCATGTGACCAATAAATCTCTTGAGATATAAATAACATTCAAATTGCCGCCATCTTGGTCGATACAGGAATGCTTGTATAGGTAACCAACATGGCGGCTATGACGTAACATGTATCCCAAAAAAACCTTTTCGAAGTCTATTCTTCGTCTTTTTATTTTAATGCCTTCTTGATCGTCATCGAAAACAGCCAGCGAGAAAAACATTCAATCATATTTTACATCTGGCCATTTATCTTCAATTCTTTTCCCCGTGGTCAAGAAAAAATGTTGACACGGAACATGATTTATATGTTAACTAAATTTGGAAGGATGGCAGAAACTATAAGGAGTCGTATGGGAATTCAAGGCTCAAAATCTTCACTTTGAATTAGTGAATCTGAAGTTTTTCCATTGCAAACCTAACATACATGTTTAAAGAGGCAACACTATCGATTTTTTTTGCTCTGTCTCAAGGGGATTATAGAACGGTTCGCGCTCTTGAGTGCATTCTATTTCATGCGATATTTAAAGTCGGGTTTTTGACATTGTCACACCACGAAAGAGGTCTATTAATCACTAACTAAAAGTTCAAGCCGGAAGCCTTTTTTAAAATGAAAAATATGGAGAACTGGTTCCAAAGCAAATTACGATTTACTCCTATTGGTGGGTAAGGCTTTCGAAAATGAAATCCGTTTGCCAAATAAAGTTTTTTTCATCCTTGCAAGGGCGAATCCATAGGTTACTAGTCACATATTCCTTCATTGAAGTCGAATAACAAGAGTGATGGAGAACTCAAGACTTAAAATGGACGCTAAGTGACAGTCATCCCCTTGAAATCGTTCTGGATTTGC